TCTGTATTTTTCATCTCTCTCAAATATGGGTCTTTCCTGTCTCCTTTCCCTTCCTCGCGGCCGGCTCAGGTCCGTGGCATTTCTTGCCCTAGACGCTGCAGTAAATCCCCAAAGGCCTGCCGTCCCCAAGCTTGCCCTCCTCTGTTTTCTTCGGTGTATCACAAAACACGGCGCCCTGCGAAAGCCTGCTGGTGCCCTCCGATTAAATCTGAATGTGACCGGAAAGCATCCGGCGGCGGCTGCCCTTCCCCGGCCCTGTGGCCCGGCCTCTGGGACCTCGCGCCCGGCTCCTGTCCTTCGCACTCGCCCCGCACTCAGCCCGCACCGACCGGCCGTCCTCTCGGGCCCTGGCTCCCTGAGAGGCCTTCCTAAGCAGTCCGACCGCAGGGGCTCCGAGTTTTGCTGCTCTCTGGGCCCCCGGTGCGCTGCATCTCACTGGTTTATCACGGTGTGTGCTGGCCTGGTTCCTGTGTCACACTGCCAACGCCTTGAGGCTAGGGACCACACCTGTCCCCACGCCTGCACGTGGCACACCTCCTGCAAAGGCAGCCCTGAGCACTATTCTCAATAATGAATCACATGGTGATCATACACTCAATATATGTTGAGTGGGAATATTTAAGAGCTTCAAGGCAGGCTATAAGAATCGGGGATTCGGGTGAGCCCTGGCCAGGTGGCTCAGTTGGTTGGAGTGTCGTCCCATACACCAAACGGTTGCGGATTCGATTTTCAGTCAGGGCACATACCCAGGTTGCGGGTTCGATCCCTGGTAGGGGTGGGTATGGGAGTCAACTGATATATGTTTCTCTCTCACATTGAGGTTTCTCTCTCTCTTTCTTTCTCTCTGTCTCTATCTCTCTCTATATATATTTCTCTCCCCTTCTCCGCCTTCCCCTCTCTCTAAAATCAATAAAAACATAAACTTGGGTGAGGATTTTTAAAAAAAAAAAATAAGAGGATTCAACTGAGAGAAAATTTTCATGGAAGAGATGGCATTTGGAGTGAGCAGGTCCTCTCTAGTACATGTCATCATAATCATTCATTGATTACTGTGTGTAAACATAGACATTTCTAAGGAGTATTCTATTCTAGATTTTAGTTTATTTTCTTTTGTGATTTAAGATGAAGCAACATCGCCTCTAAAACCATACCTAAACATGGACTTGCTTTGAGAATGAGCCTTAGAATAGCTATGAAGAGATATTACTGTGGGCAAGTTTTATGAGAACTATTATCTAGTTTTAATAAAAAAATTATTAGGGTCCTTAGACATCTCTCTGCCTTTCAGAAATAGCTTCACAAAGTTAACTTGAAAATGGAATGTTAACACATGAGAAGCCCACAGCAGGTTAATTCTTAGACTCTGCTTGTATTTGTTAGGTCATTTTAGAGCTCTGCTAATTATAACTTGTAAATCCTAATCAGGCTATATTAAGAGGCTAAATAGAAGGTTATACCCTTACCCTCCTCCCCATTTCCATACTCTAGACACTAAAATAAACACATCTACACTGCACTCAGAATAAAAACAAACCCTTCAGAGTCACATAATTGAGAAATACATTTTTAAATAGGAAACACTGATTAAGATTATAGTTTTAAAAAGCACAAAGGTTATTTGTGTTTTTGTTTTCTTCTACAAAAGAATTTATTCCTTTTAAATTATGTGAGTGCTGAGATGTTTATTTTTACTCAAGTAAATTCTACTGTATGAATGTGGGGGGTGGGTTTTAAACCCATGCTTAGGTTGCTAAGGCATCTCTTGTCATAATTATATGTAGATCTTTAAAACGTATGTTGATAAATCCACACTGTAAGAGAAAAATATTTTAAACTCATGGGGGATTCTCCTCCACACTACCATCAGCTCTACTTACTTGAAAATATTATTGTGAGGTGGAAAATGAGCCAGTATGTATAAAAATCCCTTGGAATTGCTGTAAAACGTAAACCACCTTAAAAATAACCTAACTAACCTTGGGGATCTTTGTGAACCCCAAGCAAAAAAAGAATTTTTTAATGCACTATTTGCTCCAGATTTGCCATTGTCTATGAGCCATTAAACGTTTTGGAAGTATTGCATAAGCCCAGGGTCAGCAAACTGTGGCCCAGACATGCTGCCTTTTTTGTAAATAAAGTTTTACTGGATCACAGCCACACCTAAACATTTAGGTCTTGTCAGTGGCTGGTTTTGTGTTAGGAGATCAGCTGAAGTTGACAATGGAGACCATATGACCCAGGAAGCCTAAGACACTTTCTGTAGGACCCTTTGAATAATAATTGGAGGATCCCTAGTTTCAACTATACTGCTATCTAATGCTTTATCATTATAATAAAAAAAGCAGTTATTTATTGAATGCCTAAAATCAAAATTCAAAAGGCGGTTTTTCCACTTGCAGAACTTTCCAGTCGGGCCAGTAAGAAACTGCAGCTATGTAAAATGCTCCACCAGCCATTCTTCATCTATTCGTTGTTTGTTAGCCTGGTTCTAACTCAGTTTGCACAAGAACAAGTGAAATCTCATCCTTATTTTCTATACATTTGACATCACTACATAATAAAAGATGCCATTATGCCTCGTCCTGCTCCCCACCCCAAAAGAATTTGAAATAGAAAGGAATTTTCTCTGTGACGGTGAACATGGGCCTTTTCTCTCTGCTTAAGTCCAGTGCATGGTATCAAACATAGAAACTCCCTTTCCCTTCTCCTTTTTAAAGGATTTTTGATTGATTTCCTTGCTTTGTTACTCACTTATACATCTCTTTAAATTATATATAGTATGTGCTTAACTAGTAATTAATGAGCATAGTAGAATTTACCAATCAGGAGAGGTAGCTATAGCTCAAAAACTACAGGAATTGAGGGAAGAGCTCTCAGAAGCTCACCTTATCTGAAGTAGAAATATATGCTACTTAGACTTTAATGCACGGTTGTAAAATTTTAGAATGTCAGAGCCAAAATGTGTTATGGAGTCACAAGTGGTTCTTAAACTTCTACGTGTATTAGAATCATCTAAGTTTAGGCTTGTTAAGATGCAGAATGCTTTGCCAGCCCTCCAGAGTTTCTGATTAAGGAAGTCTGAGGTGGGCCTGAGAGTTTGCAGTTTAAAAAAGTTCCCAGCTGATGCTGATGCTGATGCTTGATGCTGATGCTGATGCTGATGCTGATGCTGATGCTGATGCTGATGCTGATGCTGATGCTGATGCTTCTTGGGGGAGACCACACTTTATGAACACCTATAACAGAGGGAGGGGTAGCTGATCCAGGCACTGCCTCAGAGAGTTACCAGGATAGTGTATGCTCCTTCCTCAGCCTTTTAGTATCCGCCAGGGGAGGTCACTGTGACCCATACTGTTCCATCCCAGAGTCATAACTAAGCCAGACTCCCATTTACTGTGGCTGCCATGTGAACCAGATGCTTGGGATGACAGGGCATGGCCTCTTATACCCTATACTTTCATTCTACGATTCTATTTATATGAAATCCTAGAAGAGGCAAAACTAATCTTCAGTGGGGGGAAAATCACAATAGTGGTTGCCGTGAGGGCGATAGGGTAGGGATTAACTTTTGTAAGGAATTTGAGGGATTTGGGGGCTGATGGAGGGAAAGGATATGACCATTGGACAAGGTTGCATGAGCAAGGAAGGTTCCTCACAGCATCAGCCTGTCTAGAAGCTTGTGGCCCCAGGGCCACATCTAGAAGGGGAGGAGAGCAGGGAATTCCCGAGGTGATGGAGATTGAAGAGCGTGTGTCTGGAGATTACATGGCTAAGTGAAGTCGATCAGGAGGAGCGAAGTCCGGTGTCTTTGGGTCAGAGAGCTCCAAAGGGTGGTAGTGACATGGGGACTTAACAACCACAAGACTTTGTCCTATCAATGGGTAGCAAATGTTGGGCATAGTTTTGTGGAGTATGCATAGCAGGCAAGCTCTAAATGGCTAAAAATCTGCTTGTTTGGGCTATTTTTTAAATAATTGGGTATATGAACATTTGAGTTTGGTTCCAGCAGACATTTTAGCTAATGGGTCTCAGTCTGCAGTGAAGAAATGAACACCCCAGGGACCTGTACATCAGGGCCACCTTCAGCTTCTAAATAAAACTGCTGAGAAGGGAGAAGAGGAAATTGTTTGGAGTGATGATAATGTTCTCCATTTTGATAAGGGTTTAGATCACACAGGTGAATACATTTATCCAAACTCAGTGAATATACACCTACGATTTGTGCATTTCATTGTGCATACATTTTTTTTAAGGTTCCATGTGCATTTTATTTTTCTTTTGTTAAGTTTATTGGCGTAACATTGGTTAATAAGGTAATGTAAGTTTTTTAAAATTATAGATATTGAACTCTAGTTAATATTCATGCCGAAGTATTTAAAGGGAAATGTACTGCTGTGTGCAGTCTACACTGAAATGCCAAACATAAAATGGATTAATGAGTAGACAGAAGGACAGATCCTTGGATAGGTATGTTAAAGCAAGTAGAGCCCTAGACGGTTTGGCTCAGTGGTTAGTGTGTCAGCCTGCAGACTGAAGGATCCAGGGTTCAATTCTAGGCAAGGGCATGTACCTTGGTTGCAGGATCGATCCCCGGTTGGGGCACGTGTGGGAGGCAACCAATCAATGTGTCTCTCTCACATCAATGTTTTTCTCTCTCTTCCACTCTCTCTGTAAAGCAATGGAAAAAATATCCTCAGGCGAGGTTTAAAAAAATAAAATAAGGCAAGTAGAGTACAGTTTTAATGTTAGAATATAGGTTGGGGTATATTTGTATTTATTATAAAACTTTCAACTTTGCTTTATGTTTGAAAAGTGTCATAAAGAAATGTTAAAGACTACTGTGTGGAGATAGACTGTGAGACCAGTTAGGAAACTATGCCATTGCATTCAAAAAATGATAGAATTTCAGATTTCCTGACCAACTATAAGCTATAATTTTATAGACACTCCTTCCTACATGTGATCATTTGACTAAGGGTCTGTGGTGTTCGCTGTTACAGGGAAAGTCCTTCTGCTAGCATGGACACAGGTGCATTTCTGTCGTCACCTGTGTGCTCCAACAGGACTCTGCTAATTGATGGCCGAGTAGAACTCAAACGAGGCCTGCAAAGGCAGGAGCGACATCTCTTCCTGTTCAGTGATCTGTTTGTTGTGGCCAAAAGCAAGTGAGTACACTCCACCCTCTCTCCCGGTTATCGTTATAAAATTGCACTTCCACCGACAAAGATAACCTTTCTGTTCAATGCTCACTGTAAGAATGTCTGGTCGCTATTACCATAGATAATATCTGAAGTGAGCTTTATGTTTGTTTTATTTTTGCAAAAAAGTGTTTCAATTGTTCATTCATTCAACAAGTGTTCATTTAAGCCCCACTCTGTGCCCCTCTCTGCATAAGCATAGGAGATACAATGACAAATGTGATGGGTATGGTTCCTGCTTTTTGGCACTTTCATTCTAATGGGGTTTTTTGGGGGGAGGGGGGTAATTACAGATTGTGATTAGTGCTATGAGGAAAATAGGGTGCTGAATGAAGTGGAAATGGAATCTATGTTAGGTAGGTGTAGTTGGGGTGTAGTCATTGAAGGATGCAAAGCACCCAGCCATTCAGATATGAGGAGACTGAGCACCCCAGGAAGGAGACATGCCCGGGCACAGGTGGGGGGAAGGCTTGGCCCGGGGAGGAGTTCACAGAAGGCCTGTGTGTGCACCCGGAGCAGAATGGGCGGGAGGAGAGGAACAGGAGTTGAGATTGAAGACAGACAAAGACCAGGGTATCAGGACCTTTGTGGGCTGTTTTAATTATCTATTGCCATATAACAAATTACCCGAAATATAACAGTGCATAGCTACAAGCATCCCATGCAGTTTCTCTGAGTCAGGAGTCTAGGAGTGGTTTAGCTGTGGTTCTGGCTCAGGGGCCCTCATGGGGTTGCAGTCAAGCTGTCAGCCAGGGTTATAGGCGTTTCAAAGTTGGACTGGAGCTGGGGAGTCCACTCCCCAGCTCACTCGTGTGAATGCTGGCAGGCCTCAGCTCCTCGCTGGCCGTCGGCCTGAGGCTGCAGTTCCTCCCCAGGCGGGGCCCCGCAGGGCTTCTCGTAACATGGCATTGCTTCCTTGGGGTGAAAGGTCCGAGAGAGTGAGCAAGGGAGCAGGCAAATGTGGGAACACCCAAAAGAGAAACCGCAGTCTGTTATAAGCTAACTTTGGAAGTGGCACGCCATCAGTTCTGACATGCTGTTGGCCACACAGAGCAGCCGTGGCACAGCGTGGAGGGGACTGCTGACCAGTGTGACTATCGGGAAACAGATCATTGGGGGCCGTCTTGGAGGCTGGGTGCCACAAAGGCTAAGATACGGAGTTTTATTTTATTCCAGAGGGTTTTAGTTAGGGTAGTAGCTGATGTGGTTCGTATTTCTGAAATATTGTCCTGGCTCTGATAGCTGGTGGGTGGATTAGAGAACAGGCACGCATGGAAGCACAGGGACGGAACAGGGCGCTGTAGTAGTCCTGATGAGAGGCACTGAGGAAACGGCAATTCATATTTGGAATATACTTTAGAGATTACCAAAAGAATTCTCTTTCCACTCAACACTAAATGCCAGTGCCGTCAATGCCCAGCTAGAACATGGTGCCTGCTACTTGTTCCATCATAAAAAAAGTAACAGTATTTTTAACAAATCTAATATCATTAAAGAGACTTTTAGTCATTAGAGAATGGTAAACACTTTTTCTACTATCCGCACTCTCACACTTAAGTTATGCCATGATATAAAGCATGGGCCTGGCTAAATTCTCATTTTGTAAAACATTATATTTAATCTGAGTGATATTAATAGTAGAGACCTCACATTTATTGGGATCTCATTATATGTTAGGTATGTTTCTAGAGACTTTAACTCTCATAGCTGTTCTACCAGGTGAATATTATTTTTCTCATTTTACAGAAGAAATTGACACTCAGAGACCTTAAGTGACTCCCTCAAGATCACAGAGTTAGTAATTAGTTGAGCCCACATTTAAACCTAGGTCTATCTTATTTCAAAATCCATGCTTTTAACCAGTGTGTGGTCTGCTGTCTCTATTACCTCTTCTCTTATGGATTTAATAGAAGGTTCCTCAACCATTTCGATTTTTTCCAACCATGAAATCAATCTTTCTTTTTGCAATAAAATAAAAGGATCTAACCAAATACTCATCTAGGAAGAAATACTATAGAATGCTTAGCAAACTGTTGATTTTTTTTAAAAGGCAAAGATAAAGATAACTGTTTCATAATGTGTTGGGTTCTCTTACTTAGGAAAAGTGCCCCCTTTTTTTGTGGTAAGAACACTTAACATGAGATCTACCCTCTTAACAAAATTTTAAGTATAAAATACAGTATTATTAACTAATAAGCACAATGTCGTGCAGCAGATCTCTAGAATTTATTTATCTTGCAAAACTGAAACGTAAATGCTTATTAAATAACAACTCCCCACTTTCCCCCTCCTGCCCCGCCCGCAGCCCCTGGCAACCAATATTCCACTCTGATTTTGTAAGTTTGGATTTTTTCTCAACAATTACAATAATATTTAGAGTAGAAGTCTTTTGTTTTCTTACCTAAAGTCATTGCTCTGAATATTGCTAGGGTTCAAGTGGTTTTGTGTAACCTATATAATGTTTTACTAAAAACCTTTTATATAAAGACAGTTTCTTTCCCACTAGAAAATTGCTGTTGTAGATATGTTGGCAAATCTGTGCCTGTGATCTACTTCTCACGTAAGGTGTATGTCATTTTTTTTCTATTCTACATACTGCTTTGGAGATCACTCTTTATGTCCACTTAAATGTTTTTATGAGGTGACAAAATCTGTATCAATTGATTTAATGCTGTGCTTATTTAAGAGATTCAATTCATGAAAGATTATCTTAAGCACTTTTTACTTTCATTGGGGATATTAAAAAGTGTGAGTAATCTAAGTTAATTTGGGGGAGGGTTAATGAACCCAGGACCCCTGGGATGGAGAGAATATGTAGGTACAAATAGATGAAAGAGTAAGACTGAGATAGAAAAGCTGAAGGAAATGTAGAAATATACTCCCACACAGGGCTTTCCACAGATGCCAAGTGTTTCAGAGCACAAACAAGGTCAGGAGTCAGCACTGCTCAGTTCAGACTCTAGCTCTGCTAATTAAGCTCTTTGAATTTTGGCAAGTGTTTTAATCTGTCCATGACTCCATTTCTTATCTGTAAAATGTTTGAGGATTAAACTAAATAATATATGTAAAGTGCTTATAGCAGCGACTCCCACATGATAAGTTTTCAATAAGTATTAGCCATTAAAATGGAAGCCATTCTTTATACTTTTAGAGACCTCCTTGTTTTTGTATCAGGAAATGGATAATCTTGGCACCTTATTGATCTAGGGACAGAATCATTGGAATAACTTTTCTTCAGGTCAATAGATGTGGCAGTTTCCACATGATATCTGAACTATCTAATACAAAAAGAGACCTGCATTAGAAAACACAAAATGTATGAACACATACCTCTCCATCCAAAAGATTTGTTATTTCCATTTTACATTACCTAAATAGTTGCCATCAAGAAATAAAATTTTTAAAAGAAAAAGATTTTATCTTCAATTGAGTGTTTAATTTTAAAAAATTAAAAGATACATAACAGTAGGGTGAAAAATACTGAAGTAAAATATGNAAGAAAAAGATTTTATCTTCAATTGAGTGTTTAATTTTAAAAAATTAAAAGATACATAACAGTAAGGTGAAAAATATTGAAGTAAAATATAGAAGGAAGCCATCGTGCCACCAGGCACTTTTCTATTACACTTAGGTTAAGTGTGCCCTACGGGAAGCATAAACGAGGCTTTGAATCTAGATTATCTTTCATATATAGTTCCTGCAAAACTCTTTTTCATTTTATAAATCCTACCGAGGAGTTCTAGCTGTAACTGTTCCATGAGGAGATCTGGCCAGTGTTGCTCAGTTGGTTAAACGACATCCTTTGCACCAAAAGGTCACTGGTTTGATTCCCAGTCAGGGCACCTGCCCAGATTTCAGGCTTGGTCCCTGGCCAGGGTGCATACAGGAGGCAACTGATAGATGTTTCCCTCTCACATCAGTGTTTCACTCTCTCTCTCCCTCCCTCTTCCTCTCTCTCTCTAAAAATCAATAAGAACATATTTAAAAAACATATTCCGTAAGAAGTTCTAGGAATTCTTCCATATGAACCATCTTTGACATCATTTTAGCTTTTAGTGTTTCCAAAAATGGTTCTGAATGATAGGAAGTCGCCAGGTTTCCCTGGGCATTCTCTGTATCCTTCCCAGTGCCTTCTAACTATTTAAGCATAAGATCCATTATAGACATTAAATATGTGAATTAGGTCAAATGATGTGGTGGTGTCGATATCAGGGTTCCAAGGGAGATTAGGTAGAAATTGTCAAAAAGCAATTTCATTGCCTAAAGTAGATCACCTTCTGGATCCCCAGAGATAAACACTAATTATGTCAACTCTACTTAAATATAATACTTCCTGTCCTCTTTTTCTTTTTTCAGTTTAATGTAGGTTCTGTTTTTAGGCTAGTTTTTCAATTTCAGCCAGAATATAAGGGGAAATGGTATGAACAAAATCTTAAGAATGGAAATCTAAAATAACCTTTGTTTCTAAACACTAAAAAATGTAACCACTCAGATTGAAATGCATTGTAAATTCCTCTGATTAATTTCAGGTTGTATTTTTTAGTATAGCTATCTCTGTTAAGGTGAAAATTTTATAAATGTTTTAATAAAGAATGTGTACTTTAATCTTTTGTTCAGGTACTCAAATATTTTTGGAAGTAAGCAAATTGTAAATAATAAATTAATTTTTTATAACAGAAGTTAATTTTTAAAATTAGGATTTTGATCCAAATGCAGTGCTCAACATACAGAAAAATGAAGTGGCCAGTTTATGGCTAAATGCAGGCCTGAGAACTAATACACCAAGTGCTTCCAAGGCATTTGGGGGCCATGGTAGCCAGCTATTGTAAAGTTGACTGTGGTGAGCACTGAAGGTTAAAAAAATGAGTAAGACATTCTTTGCCTTGATAAGTTTAAACTGTTCTCTTATCACAAGTACAGAAGCTCTCTTGAAATTTAAAAAACAAAATCATAAGTCCTATCTGTCTGGTTTTTATCTTTCTAGATATAACAACTTTAAGATAAAAAATAAAATAAAATTAAGTGACATGTGGACAGCAAGCTGTGTGGATGAAGTGGGAGAAGGCAATACCGATGCCACGAAATCATTCGTTGTGGGCTGGCCCACGGTGAACTTTGTGGCCACTTTCAGGTAAGAACATAGGGGAGCTACTATGAAATGGTCAACTCGGTAATTTCTAGGATGGAGAGAAAACAAGTTAAGCAAATTTTGTTCTCATTTTTTAAAAGGAAAATATTTTATTCTGATTGAGTTACTCTGAAGTCCTTTGACACACACCCAGTAAAGACACTTGAATGCCATATGCTTTTCCCAAAGAGCTTTTCATTAAAATAGGTGAAAAGTGATGGTAAATATTGAGAACTCAGGGAGTCATTCATCTTGTCTGACTGGTGATTTTGAAAGGATCTCTACAGAAACACCTTCAGGACGATGGAATAGGAATAGAGTTATCAGAGCTCTAAGACCCCTCTCCAACCTTCCCCCTCCTAGTTTTTAAGTATTGTTTTACATATTGTTCACTTGAGTTGGTCTTTTCAAGCCACTGAAATAAACATTTACTGAAAGAAATTTTATAAAATAGTCCAATTGCGTTTGAATAACCAATTTTTACTCTCAGATTTTCTAAAGAAATTTTTAACTATTGAAATAAAATTAATGTCATGATTTAAATGAGTGCCTGAATTTTACATCAGGTTCTGATTTGTTACCAAAAGCAAATTTATGATTCAGGAAGTTAAAGTGAGTTTCTTAGATTCACTCCCTGTCTAGGGTGGGGTTGGAGAATGAATGGATAGAGAATCTTTGTGCTCTTAACCTCAACATGCTGAATTGGCACTTTTCAGTTCAGGATGAGCACACCAAGACATACAGTTGAAATTCTGAACAACTGCACCGCCAAGTCCAGTATTTGTTTTACACTTAAAGTCGGTGTTCATCACATGCACATAATGTTTTTCTTTTTGCGTCTCCTCTCCCCACTACCACCAAATTCCTCAGGCATCATCTTAAAGCCAAATAACTAAAATTTTCCAAGCTACTAATCTTCTGATAAAGGAAAGGCATGTCATTAAATGCACTGCTGGCCACCACAAAATTTTAAGAACTTATTTGGAAGAAACATGTGTTTGTTTCATTTTCTGCATATCTTCTTTTCCATGACAAATTTCTCTAGATATTACCATTTTCAATTGCTTGATCTCATTGGAGTTATAAGTTAAAGGAAGCAATTTCAAGTGAGGGGTGGGGCTATGTGACATCTTTAATCAAGGAGTTGTGGTGAAACTTCTTTTATGAAGAAGGGAAATGTGGAGACAAGTTTCACATACACTGTATTCCTTGAAAAATCGGATACTTTAACCAAATGATTAAGGTTAACATAACGTGTTATTATGTGAATATCATATACCGCTTGATAGAAAGTGATGAACAATTCACCTCTTTGGTATTCCTCCCCAGAACACATAACCCCAGTCTAATCATGAGAAAAAACATCAGACAAACCCAAATTGAGGGATATTCTTTAGGTTACCAGAAAATATCTATAGTCGTACTCCTCAAAACTGTCAACGTAAAAAAAAAAAAATTAAAAATAATAACAAGAAAAGACATAGAAACTGTCATAGACCAGACACTAAGGAGACATGATAACTAAATGTAATGTGGTATCCTGGATTGGATCGTAGAATAGAAAAAGGACATTAATAGAAAAACTGGTGAAATAGTCGAGAATTTTAGTTTATAGCAATGCACCATTATTGGCTTCTTGGTTTGACAAATGTGCCACGTTAATGTAAGAGGATAAGATTAAAAGAGTCTGAAACTGAGTGAGAGGCATATGGGGACTTTCTGTACTATCTTTAAAACTTTTCCAAAAAACTGAAATTATTTCAAAATTAAAAGATTACTTTTTTAAAAAGTAGTGTTGGAGAATACTGCCTCTGGTATGGCAGAGTGAGATCTTAACAGACTGACAACCCTACAGATAACAACCATAAACTCTGAACAAAATACAAGCAATGACCTGAAGGTTCTGGAAAGTGAACAGAAGTTGGCAGATTTGGGTGAGAAATTGAAACTTGGAAAGAGGCACCAGCACTGGTGAGTGAGTTCCGTTTTTAAGGCATTAGCCAGAGGCAAGCAGCAGTCACATCATGGTGGAGGGTAACTAAATTAACCAAAAACTCAACAATCTTTTTGCTGAAGAATGGAAGGACAAAAGTCTGAGTCAGCCACAGCCACAGCCACAGAAAAGTGAGGAAGGAAATCTCAAAAAGGAGAGTATCAGAGAAGTTACACTACAGATTTTGTCTATAGACTCTTCCCAAGTCTCTGCATCACTGCTGAACCACACCAGCATGGAATAGACTCAAAGCAGATTGAAGCTAAGGTTAAAAGAATTGAGCTGATGAGGCGCTGCCCACCACAGGTGAGATGGAGCTTGCAGCTTGAGTGTGATCAAGTTACTTGCCTGTTAAAACAGAAACATCGACGCTGTTTGGCAAATATAACAGAACTCAGAGTCTCCAAAACAAAACATTGTGATGTCCAGAATACAATCTAAAATTTCTTAACATACCAAAAAACAGGAAAGGGAAAAGATAATTAAGAGGCTAATCCTGAGGTGATCCATATGTTGGATTACCAGAAAAGAACTTTAAAGCAACTCTTATAATTATGTGCAGTAGGTAAAAGGAAAAGCCAATTAAAATGAATGAAAAGATAGGCAGTCTCAGCAGAGAAGTAGAAAGTATTTAAAAAAGAGCCAAATGCCTTGGCTGGTATGGCTCAGTTGGTTGAACAGCATCTAGTTCGCCAAAGGTCACCAGTTCGGTTCCCGCTGAGGATACATGCCCTGGTTTGCAGACTCAGTCCCAAGTAGGGGGCATGCAGAAGGCAGCTGATGGATATTTCTCATGTCTATGTTTCTCTCTCCCTATCCCTCCCTCTCTCTCTAAAATTCATAAAAAATTAATAATAAAAAAGAGCCAAATGAAACTTCTAGAACTGAAAACTACAGCATCTTAAATTTTAAAATCCCCTGTGTGGACTTAGTTGCAGAATAGAAATGAAAGAGGAAAACGTGAATTTGAAGATAAATCAATACAAATTGTCCAACCTGAATGGGAGGAAAATATTTTTTTAATGGAAACTGCGTCAGAGACTTATTGGAAAATACCAAAAGGTATAATATATATGAAATTGGAATTCCAGAAAGAGAAGAGAGGGGGGGGAATGAAACATAATGAATATTTAAGGAAATAATGGCTTGAATACCTTGGAAATTTGATGAAAGACATAAAATGTACAGGTTCAGTAAGCTCAGTGAACACCAAACAGGAGTCTGAAGAAAACTTCACTTTGTCATGGAATAGGCAAACTGCTTTAAACCAAAAATAAGAGAAAATCTTGAAAATGCCAGATAAAAACAACACATTACATACAAAAGAACAACAATTTCCATCGCTATGGGTTTTTCATCAGAAACTATGGTGGTTTCAGAAGACAGCAGAAGGGCACTGTTAGTGTTGAAAGAAAAATATTTCAACCTAGACTACTATAGCCAGCAAAAATATCCCTCAAATGAAGGTGAAATAAAGATCTTTTTTTAACTCTAAGAATGTATTGCCAGCAGAACTGTACTGCCAAAAAAATATATATTAATGCAAGTTTTTCAGCCTGAAGTGAAATGAAATCAGATGGCAGCTAAGATCTTTAGGAAGGGATGAAGAACATCAGAAATGGTATTTAGATCTCAATAAATGTTAAGAAAATCAAGGTCAGGATCAGTTTAAAATGCCATCAGGTAGCTCAAGAAGCAGTCACTATAATATGAATAAAGAAGAAAAATACTAATAGCTTTGAAAGATAAGACTGACAGACAACTGCCAGCATCTGTGAGGCATTTCTAATGGAGCCAGACTGGGGGAAGAGCAAATAATTACTGTGAACTTCCCATGCTTTACCTTGGGAAATGGGGTATATCATCACATCTCAAAAACAGCCAAAGGAATTTCATATCTCTGTCACTACTTGTACCTTGATTCACATACTTAAGCTCTATATCAACCAGAAAAATAGGCACGGCACCTTGATTTTACAAATAGCTATACAACAAGTCCTCATTTAACATAATGGGTAGTTCCTTGGAGACTGACTTTAAGCAAAACAGTGTATAACAAAACTAATTTTACCATAGGCTAATAGATATAAAGAAGCATTAAATTTCTACAGCATATTTCTGGTCACAGAAACAGCACCAAACTTCCAAAATAAAGACCCAAAACATTTTCTAATGTTAAATATTGAAGTAAATCTGAGCTACATATATATTTAAGAAAGGTTATGAAAACAAGTAAGACAATTATTTTTCAACCCACCTATTCCATTTGAGGGTTACAGGTGGCTGGAGCCTATCTCTGAAGCTCACGGAGCAAGGCGGGACCCAGCTCTGGACAGGACTACATTCAGTCACAGGGCGCCCCTCACACACATACACATAAACACACACACACACACACATTCACTCATACTGGGACAATTTGGACACACCAGTTAACATGCACATCTTTGGGATGTGGGAGGAAACTGGAATACCCAGAGAAAACCCATGCAAACATGGTAAGAGCCTGCAGAACCCACACACAGTGGCCCCAACCAGGAATCAATTTTTTTTCTTCTCATCAATGTTGCAGTGAAACAATGTTGAGCAAAATGACATTATTCTAGGACCTGATGTATGGTAAAATGGGAACATAGTTCAAAAGACACAGGAAATATTTAAATCTGAAAGAGGAATCAGAATATTTTTACTTAAGTACTTAATCTAAATCTTAGACTACAAACAAGTATGCAAGAAAAGCCTGTATATTTATAGATAAAAGTAGAACGCACCTTGAGCCCCCATTTTTTCAGCTTGGTAAGAAATCATATTTTCTCCTTTACTGGAATCTGTTTTCTTAGGATAGAAGCAGAATACAGGAGATTTCTCTGATATCTCCAAAGCAGATGAAAAGCCTCTGACCTTCCATTTCCTGTGGCCACTCTTTTTCAATGCTCAGAGTTGTTCTTTTACATCCAGAGATGCTCACTCCCTGCCACATTTGGGGTGCGTGTATCTTTGTTGATGTGGA